AAATGTCGTGGAATCTGTGAGAGTTTTTAACAACCCTGTAATCAGGGCGGGCCTACTAAACGTCCCCCAATCAGAGCCTAGGAGGAGCGTGGTGCTGAGGAAGCCCTTTGCCGGGGCTCCTTCCTTCCACAGGGCTCCTGGCCTCCCTCAGGAGGCACCCCAACCCCCTGACCAAGCCCCACCGGTCAGCTCAAGGGCACAACATTGTAGATGGCCAGCGCCCCCTCGCACGGCCCTCTGTCCCCAGAGCCACTCCTGCGTGCGACAGGTCCTTCCCATCCATCACAGCCCAGCTCACACGTGCCTCCCCTGGAAGCAGGTCCCCATGGGAAAGGCCTGGGCGGGGCAGGGTGGCCCCACTGAGGTTTCAGCGCCCAGGCGGCTGAAGCACGCAGTCCAGGCAGCCACCTGTCCGCCGCCATGACAGACCCGCTCCCTGCAGAGCTCAGCCTGACAGTCTTGACTGCACCTGGCCCTGCGATCGGCAGGTGGACCGCGCCATCCCTCTGTGATCCAGGAAGGGCTCGCTGCGCATGACTCAGATAAGACGGGGGGCCCCATTCGCCTAGGGCAAGGGGAGACACGGGCCCCCGAATTCCACTCTGTGCCTTGGCTGAGCAGCTCATCCCTACAGATAAATCGGAACAAAACACTTGTTACCCGACTCTGGTTCGGCTTCTCTCCTTCCCCCAGGCCTCCCTCGACCCACCGTGAGGCTGGGCACTCGGATGGCGCCCCTGAGAACAGGCCGGCCTTGGAGGACACGTCTCCCAATCTACCACCCCATCATTCTTCATCCCCACACCCGGGTCCTAATAGCCTTGTCTACACCTCCCTACCAAGGAAAAACCCAGTTTGCCGAACGCTGACATCTCTCCACTGCAACAGCCGCCTCCCTGGATCCCCCATAATAATCCTTCCTAATAAAGCCTCTTATTACTATGTCTGGCTTTGTTTTCCATGTGACAACTGATTACAAATTACTTGAATCCCAAAACACACGGGTCTGATGGACAGGTGAGATCTCTGACTTCCACCTTCCTGAAGACTCATAGGGTTCCATAACGTCCCACCAGTTCAGGGTCACGGTACAAACAGGGACTGGTTCAGGAGTCAACTCAGGGGCGTGTCTGAGACCTCAAGTCACAGCTGCTCCTGGGGGCTGGCAGGCCAGCGAAACAGGGGGAAGCAACATCAAAGGAAAATCACACCACTCACGCACACCCAGTGTCCCACTCGCTGTGGAAAACTCAGCCTTTCCTTGGAAACATCAAACACAGCACATGGGACCTTTTGCTTAAGCTGACACCCCTCCAGGAGGTGGGCAGGGCTCCATGGGGCCATCCAAAGCATGACACACAGTGTATCCAGGACCCCTGCTCTCCAGGCCCCTGCAGGGAGAGAAGTTCCCGGCGGGAATACTCCCACCACCAACAAATGCTTGCCCTCATGCTCTGGGCAGGGGGCGGTCACTGCTGAACTGGTCACTGCTCTCCTGAACACAAAAGATTCTCTTCTAAACATGCTGCAACTAAATGTGTGAAATGAAATGTTCATCTCACTGGTAATCAGAATAATACAAATTAACACAAGATGCCATTCTCCCCCTACAGAATTAACAAAGAAAAATTGATAAGGCTCAATGGTGGTGAGGAGGTAGGAGTCCCTCCCCAACGTCAACAGGAAGCCTCTTCAAGAAGCAACATCCAGAACCTTAGAAAAGTCAATGCTAGCCACGGGTAATGATAAGAAACAGGGACAGGTACTCACACACAAAAGTTCTCACCCAGGAGCCTCTCGATAGCAAAAAACTGAAAACTGAAAAGAGAGGATTAAATAAATGAGAGTATATACAGGACCAGACTGGCACCAGAGTGTGCGTACGTGTCTTTCTGGACACATGACCTTAAGCAGATCGCTGCGATTTTGAGTCAAACCTCCTCAGCCAACCAAGGAGGTAATGGTGACACCCACTGCCCTACCTGAGGTGTGCTGACACATGAGGAAAACCATCAAAATAAACCTCTAGAAATTGCATCCACCTGAGTTTTTCTCCTACACTGGAGAATGGCGTAAGGATAGAAAACCACAGTGTACAAACCCTGGAGAAAGTCCTGGGATCAACATGTGTCTTTAGTAACAAATGAATTAATGGATCAGATTTAACAGAAGGGTAGGATGGGTTTTAGCAAACCGCTTTTCCTAGCAGCTGATTAAACTCGGTTTGGGTTAGGAAGGGAAACCCTCAGGCTCTACTAAGACCGAAACTGCAGAGCGAGGTGCTGAAATCACGCATGCACACGCCACCCTGGCTGCGACATTCTCTGCGTAGCCAAAGGGAAATGCTTAGAAATCGCTCCGCACCACTGTGCTGTAAATACTTGAAACTTGATTTCTTACGAATACAGATGTTGGGACATTTCACTAACTTCTCTCCAAAACTTTGGTATGGTGCCACAACTCCTCACAGAAATGAAGGTCGTTAGCCATGTGTTATTTACGGAAAACCCGCAAAGCTGGTTTCAGGAGAGAAGTGGGGACTCCGAGGGAAGGGGACCCAAGCTCTCCCCTCATGACAACACTGATGTGAGCGACAAGAAGCAGCCGTCGGATAGGATGTGGAGACGCTAACAAATGCCTATCACTTAAAGCAAAAGCGAGCCAAGGACACCTTGAACTGAAAGCTGTCCTTGGCCGTTTACAAAAGCACCAACAGCCCTCCTGAGGTGAAAATCTTGAGCTCACACCAGCCATCTTCTGTCCAACAATCCAGTCCCTTCTGCAGACAGGGGTTTGTCTCTGTTCAACAGGACTATTCTGGGGGTTCCCACAATCAAGGCTTGACCTTTCTCTTTCTGCTCAAGGTCACAACCACCTGCTTATTGCGGTTGGTTTTGGACAGCAGGGAAAGGTCCCTCCCCACATGGCCAAGGGACTGGGAAAAGCCAGGGTCACTGAGGGCCGAGTTCAAACCTGAGGTCGCACCAGAGTGAGGGCCCCACGAGGAAGACTGACTGAGACTCGGGCCAGTTAGGGGGTTCAACCTTCACACATGGAGGTTGTGCTTTAGGTCTGCTGGGAACATGGGGTGCCAGGGAGTCCTCAGCCCCTGAGGGACAGGCTGGGCCAACTCGTGGCCATTACCACGGGGCCCAGAGAGCTCAGGGGGTGAGGGTCCCGCTCTCTGCTCAGCTGATGACGACACCTAGCACGCAAGCCCACTGGCTCCGACTGCATGAGATTTCTGTTCTTGGCACTATGCCCTCTCCACAACTGTAAACATCTGGATTGCTCAACACAGCACTGGACTTGTGATAATTAATCAATACATGCTGACTGACCTGGCAGGGCACAGAGCGCCAGCCCAGGAAGATGACTTCTTTTCAAAATATCACCCAAGAGCCCCAGACAAGACCAGGAAAGTCCACACGTGAAGTGCTCACCTACCCTCCATGACCAGATTCTCATTCTAAAAAAAAAAAATCCCCAGCCCACCGAATGCCACGGAGGTAGTACAGGAGGCGCTGGAGGACTGAAAACCAGCACCACCCAGTGAGAAGGGCTGGCAGCTCAGCCAAGGGCGGGATGGTTGTTAAAAGGTCATTTTAAAAAATGACCACATTTGGGCTTCCCTGGTGGCGCAGTGGTTGAGAGTCCGCCTGCCGATGCAGGGGACACGGGTTCATGCCCCGGTCCGGGAAGATCCCACATGCCGCGGCGCGGCTGGGCCCGTGAGCCATGGCCGCTGAGCCTGCGCGTCCGGAGCCTGTGCTCCGCAACAGGAGAGGCCACAACAGTGAGAGGCCCGCGTACCACACACACACACACACACACACAAAAAAAGACCACATGTTAAAAATGTTATTTAACTCATTATTCATGAGGAACCAATGAGACATTACAGTGCCTTCAAAGAAGGCACAAGATTATATGGAGGCCGAGGGAGGAGGAAAGGGGGTGACTGCTTAGTGGTACGCAGCAGTGAAGTACCACTTTCATCACGCAGGGGGTGATGAAAAGGTCTTAGAACTAGATACAGGCGGTGGTTACACACACTGTGAATGTCCTAAATGCCACTGAGCTGTTCACTGTAACGTGGTTAATTTTATGTTATGTGCACTTCAGCTCAATTAAAATACATATATATATATATATATAAAATAAAGAAATATAGAAATGAACTTCCAACAGGCACAAAACTGGATTTTTCCGTGGGAGGAAGTCAACTGCCCTGACACTGGACAGAATTCATTTGCCTGTCTGCAGGCGAGGACTGTCTGCATTACGTACCACGTACAGAGCTGTACCAAGCCAGACAAACCCCACAGGCTCCAATGTTCCATGCAGAGGATGCTCATTCCAAAGTCCATGGTGGACAGAAGGGAGGGAGAACTGTGAGGTTTGGGAGGGAAGGGGGCTCAGGACCCGGCAATGGTACACAGTGAGGTGAAAGGGGAAGTGGTACCAAGAAGGACTTCTGCATTTCTAGAGGGCAGTGGGGGATGAGGAGAGCTGGGGAGCTGGGAGCAGGGAGGAGGTTTGCCCCGACAGCATAAGGGACACAGGTCCTGGAGCATCACTGTCCAGTGAGAGGCCCAGCAGTGTCCCAGCAGCCCCTCCCAGGCTGTGGGACATTCCCAGCAAGGAACTGCAGCCAGCTGGGGCATGTGCCAATGGAGCTGACACATAAATTGCTGAATGATATGAATGAAAGATCCCCCCTTACTCAAATAAAAAAACATGCTGATCACTTAGGTCTGTGCTCACACAGCCTTGAAAATGAGGAACAGGGACGCCAATTCACTTTCAGAAATGCCTTTTCTTTATGCAAACTAGAATTCTTTCCAGGGTTCCTCGAACATCTCTAAGAATCCCTAACATCAGAGAGAGGGGGGCACCTGGGGCCTTCTCTTTCTTTGAAAAGAATCACTGCTCTAGGAAGCCACACACGTTTACCCCAGGTCTGCCCACCCCCCAGACCCCTTCCAGCCTGCACACACCTGCTCAGACATGCTGATACCAAGCAGACAATTCCTTGGAGGTCAGAGGAGAGACCGTTCTTGGGGCACACGCTTCCTTGAGAGGCCGCCCAGGGAGTTAGTGAGGTTCCTTCTGTATAGAACACATGCCGTGTCATGTCGAGAGGGCATGTGCTTCCGTCTGCACTAGGCCATGCTTGAGAAACATCCGTCTCAAGGTCTAAGTTGGTCACATGCATGCATGAGCTCCTCGGTGACAGGCAAACTGTGCTCTTTGCACTGTAATTTGTGCGCACTGATCAACACCCTCATATCCAGTCCCTGGACAGCACATGGCAACGTCTGCAGTCCCGATGGTCGGTGTTTTCAGGTGAGTTCTCATGTGACACCAAAGGACGTAACTGCCGTTCACATGACGATGACACATGAACACCACGTCCGTTACCGGAACCTTCTGCAAGGATGCTGCTCCACTTCAACTGCCCTCTCCTTACTATGTAACTATTAGGTTCTAAGCCACAAGCTCCAGAAGACATGGCCCAAAGAGGGTTTTGTTACTCTTTTACAAGCAATCAGAACAGAAACTAAAATGTCACCAAACTCCTGGAAAGAAACAGAATGATTAGTCTGCAGAGCTAATTGTACAGGTAAGAATTAACAGGGGCTCCCCCTCTCAGCTGTCAAAGCTGAACACTCTCCGTGAAAAGGAATGGGCATTCCTTCCCCACCATGCCTCCACCTGTGCCCCGGCGCCGGCCTCCCTCCTGGCGGCCACGTGCGGACAAGGACACAAGGGCACGGGGAACGGGTGGAAGAGCGTGCCTCCACGTACTTTCATGCCCTCGCAGCCTAGCTGCCCATCTTCTGAGACCTCAGAACTAGATGGTCTTGGGATCTCATGTGGGACGCCCCCCAAGGCACCACGCCAGCATGTGGTGCCCACAATTTAGCCCCAAAGGAGACTAGGGCTGCAGGAGCTAAAAGGATTTACACCCAAACTCTATTGGAGGAGGGGCTGATTTTAATTCCCCTCCTTTCTGTACATCCTACAGTACATGTGCTACTTTTGTAGTAAGGGGGAACATTACACCTAGAAGAATTACAATTCTTGAAAGGCTCCCCACCCCACTTTTGGAAACAGCCCTCCAAAGACCTAAGCTGTCCTGGTGGCTAGTATCCAAGCCACAGCCCCTCACCTGGAACTTCCTGACCAGCCTGCAGCAGGCAAGCAGCAGCAGGACAGACTGAGTTGCCACAGGACTGTGATAGTGACTAAAGCAGGGCGGTCAATGTGCCAGGCCTGGTCCTCCAAATGACTTGCAATCATTTAGGAAACTCTGTGTCCCTAACCTCGCCAAGGCCTGCACAGGTTTCCAAACCCTTCTGCTTTTGCAAAAACCTATTTTCTTTCTATTGCTCATAAATGCCTCTCTTATTCTAAAGCCCGGTGTGACACAGTTTTTTTTTTTTTAATTAAATGAAGCAAAATTAATCTTGCTTGACAAATTACTAAACAACTATGACCCTTTCTCTCTCACTTAGGAAGATGTCACAATATCAGGATCAGAAATTGTTACGGTCTGAATGTTTACGTTTCCCCCCACCCCAAATTCACATGTTAAATCCTACCCCCACCCCCGGCATGATGGTATTAGGAGGGGGGCCTCTGGGAGGTGGGTAGGACATGAAAGTGGAGCCCTCATGAATGGGATTCGTGTCCTTATAAGAGAGACCCCAGCACGCTCCCTCGCCCATTTTACCTTGGGACGACACAGTGAGAAGTCCAAGACCTGAACCCAGGCCCTACCCGACCGACCACATCAGCACCCTGATCTCAAATGGCTAGCCTCCAGAGCTGTGAGAAATAAACGTCAGTTGCTTATAAGCCACCCAGTCTGTGGTATTTTGTAACAGCAGCCCAAACCCCACAGCTTTCCTCATTCTAAAAATGTTTACTTTAGGATTCCTGATGAAGGAAGACAAAGTATCATACAGAAGGACATGCTATCAACTATCTTCCATCCCCGCCAAATAAACGACCACTACTAAACAATCTCCACTTAAACCTCTAACTAAAACATACCACTACACTGGCTTTAATTTACCAGGGTTTTAAAAGCAACCCAGGGGCTTCCCTGGTGGCACAGTGGTTAAGAATCTGCCTGCCAATGCAAGGGACATGGGTTCGAACCCTGGTCCAGGAAGATCCCACATGCCACAGAGCAACTAAGCCCGTGCGCCACAGCTACCAAGCCTGTGCTCTAGAGCCTGCGAGCCACAACTACTGGGCTTGCGTGCCTAGAGCCCATGAACCGCAACAAGTGAAGCCACCGCAACGAAGACCCAACGCAGCCAAAAAAAACAAAAAGCAAAAAAAAAAAAACAAGCCCAGTTTGTGGCCTTGACTAGAAATACATGAAACATAAATTAGTCAATACTACACACACACCACTTGGAACAATCCCCTTAAACACCATGAACAAAGGGGGAATCTCTTCCACCCTTTAGTGAGATTCCACACCCCCCCGCCCCCCCTCCCCCACTGTGTGAAATTGCTCCCTGGCAGCAAACTGATGCTTCTGGAAACACAAGAAGACATGACATGCAGGTCACTGGGGTGCCGTGTATTAACTTTCCACCCCTGGGCACCAAATGCTGCCCAAAAGCCTTAAAGTTCCTCCGAACACACCTCATTTGCTACTCCCTAAAGATACCACAGAAACCCAGGGAATCCACCCTAGGGAGATGGGGCAATGCCTTCAGCTAGGATGCTGGCCCCATTCCAAACAAAGGCTACATTTCAGACACTAGGTCTAATACATTCCCAAATCCCAGTACCAGGAGAGAGAGGTGTGATCGTTGCAGACCTCACAGACAGTAATGGATAATAAGGGAATACCACGAACAACTCTGCAAGTAAAGTCAACAACTTAAAGGGAATAATCCAATCTCTCAACCACCACAAATTACCACAATGCATCATGATGAAATAGGTAACCTGAACAATACTTAAGAAATAGAATTCATACTTTAAAACTCTTCTGAGAAAGACATCTCCAGACCCAGATGGTTTTACCAGCAAATTCTACCAAACATTTAAGAAAGAACATCAATTCTACATAAGCTATTCCAGAACACAGAAGAAAAAACATTTCCCAACTTAAATGCGGCCAGCATTACCCTGATAACAAAACCAGACAAAAACAGCACATGAAAATTGCAAACCAACATGAACACAGATGCAAAAATCCTCAAAAAATATTAGCAAATTTAATCCAGCTACGTGTATATATATATATATATATATATATATATATATATATATATATAAATGGTACACCACAACCAAATAGAGTTTATCCCAGAATGCAAGGCTGGTTCAGTATATAAAATCCATCAATGTAATCTACCATATTAACAGTCTACAGAAGAAAAAACACACAAGCATATGAATTTATGTAGAAAAAGTCTCTGAAAAAAATCAGCATCCAATCATGATAATTCTCAGCAAACTAGAAATCGAAGGGAACCTCGACAGTCTACTAACAGACATCTGTGAAGAAACCTATAGCTAACATGATACTCAGTGATGGAAGACTGAATGCTTTCCCCTAAGACCAGGGACAAGGCAGATGGCCCCTCTCACTGCCTCTATTCAACACTGCACTGGAGGCCTGGCTAGTGAATGAGGCGAGAAAAAGATATAAAAGGCATACAGATTAGCAAGGAAGAAATAAAATGGCCTTTTCACAGACAGCATGATTGCCTCTGCAGAAAATTCCAGAGACTCTACAACAACAACAAAAAAGCTCTCAGGACTAACAAGTGAGGTGAGCAAAATCACAGGATACGAGATCAGTAACAGAAAATGAATCATCTTTCCATGTACTCCCTATGAATGATGGTAAACTGGTAAGTTGAACTTCATCACAATTAAAACGTTTTGTTCTGTGAAAGATTTTGTTACAAGAATTAAAAGACAAGTTACGGGGCTTCCCTGGTGGCACAGTGGTTGAGAGTCTGCCTGCCGATGCAGGAGACACGGGTTCATGCCCCAGTCCGGGAAGATCCCACATGCCACGGAGCGGCTGGGCCCGTGAGCCATGGCCGCTGAGCCTGCGCGTCCGGAGCCTGTGCTCCGCAACGGGTACCACAAAAAAAAAAAAAAAAAAAAGACAAGTTACAGACTGGAAGAAAATATTTGAAAACCCCGAACCTGACAAAGAACTTGTGTTCAGAACATAGGAAAAATTCCCAAAACTCAACAGGAAGAAAAAACCAACCCAATAAAATAAGAGACACTTCACCAGGGAGGATATAGAGATGGCAAATAAGCACGTGAGAAAATGTTTAATGCCATTAGTCACTAGGAAATGCAAAGTAAAACCACAGGGAGACACAGTGTATGCAAATTAGAATGACTAAAAAAAATGGTGCTGCAGCCACTGTGGAAAACAGTATGGAAGTTTCTCAAAAAACTAAAAAACAGAACTACCATATGACCTGGCAATTCCGCTCCTGGGTATATATCTGAAAAAAAACAAAACTGCTAAGTTGAAAAGATACATGCACCCCAATATTCATAGCAGCATTATTTACAACAGCCAAGCTATGGAAGCAACCTAAGTGTCCATCAACAGATGAATGGATAAAGAAGATGTGGTATAAATATAAATATATATATATATATATATATATACACACACACACACACACACACTCACATACACACAACAGAATACTACTCAGTCATAAAAAGAATGAAATTTTGCCATTTGCAGCAACATATATAGACTTGGAAGGCATTATGCTAAGTGAAATAAGTCAGAGAAAAACAGATATTGTGTGATATCACTTACACGTAGAATCTAAAAATACAACAAACTAGTGACTATAACAAAAAAGAAACAGACTCACAGATATAGAGAACAAATTAGTGGTCACCCGTGGGGAGAGGGTTGGGGGGAGGGGCAATGCAGACAATGGGGATTAAGAGGTACAAACTATCAAGTATAAAATAAGCTACAAGGATATATTGTACAACACAGGGAATATAGCCAATATTTTATAAGAACTATAAATGGAGTATAACCTTTAAAAATTGTCAATCTCTATACTGTACACCTGTAACTTATATAATATTGTACATCAACTATACTTCAATTAAAAAAACCTACTAACAAAACCAAGTATGGGTGAGCATGTGGAGCAACTAAAATTCTTACAGGTTGTTGGTGAGAATGTAAAACAGGACAGACACTCCATAAAATATTTTGGTAGTTTTTACAAAGTTAAACACACACTTACCATATGGCCCAGAAATCCCACTCTTGGGTATTTATACTAAGTAAATGAAACCATACACTCACAGAAAAGCCCTCACATGAATGTTTATGGCAGCTCTATTCAAGCGTACAATGGACTACTACTCAGTGACAAGAAAAAAATCAACTGTCGATCACACAACAACTTGAATGAGCCTCAAAGGTGTTATGCTTAGGAAGGAAGCCAACCTCAAAAGGCTACCTACTCTATGGCTCCATTTATAGGAAGTTCACGAACAGGTAAACCAGAGGGACAGT